TTACACCAAGACCCTCAATCTACTCATAAAAATGAGAAAACAAATTACTGAGTGTGCACCAGGGATGTGTGCATGCCTTGACCCGGGGTCAGACCAGAGCACAGTGGACACTGCCTTGCGGCCTCAGAGCAGGGCACAGGGCACTGGGCTTTATTGACCACTGAGTGCAAGACAGGCTGATAGCCGGAGGGAGGCCCGGGTCAGCAGTGGGGGGGCTTCGGCTCTTTGCTTCCAGAAGAGCAGAGAGAACCTCAGGCTGGTGAGAGCGCTGGCAGCACTTTACCAGCACACTGGCCAAAGCCGACGCGGTAACCATCTCCTTGACAATGTCCTGCAATGGAGGAGGGCAGGGGTTAGTCACAGCACACTGGGCTCACCAGAACCAGTGCAGTGCTGGTCAGCATGAGGCTGGGCCCCAGCAGGAAGGCAGCACTGGCGAGACACACGCATCTCCTAAACAGAGAAATAAGCCTCTCAGAGGCAACGCTGTAAGCCGGAGCATCTTAGAGGGAGCTATGGGCCCAACCCACAGGCCGGGGTCCCCAGAGGCACTTCAAGACTCGATAGTTTCTTTGATGGTGGTCAATCCTCCTTACATGGGTTTGGGTTCGGTCCTTGGTCCTTAACTAGCCTAAAGCCAGACTGTCGGAGTCCAAGGCCCAGCTCCTCCACCAGCTTTGTGACCTCGGGTTTCCCCAGACCTCAGTTTCCTTATCTGAGAAATGGATCTAATGATAGTACCATGGCACAGGACTGCTGTAGGAATGACGTGAGCTAATGCACAGAAAAATCTGAGTGCAAGAGAGAAACATGTTCTAATAATTTATTCTGAATGTTGACATCATTCTGTGTCAAATGCTCCCATTCACAGAAAGAAAACAGCTTATGCTGAATCTTTAAGGAAGTGTGCTCACATTTGCCTTTTATACCTGCATATGTAAACATGTGTAATACAAACCAACGGACAAAGAAAAATGTAAAAACATTCTCAATGTTGTCTAGCAAACAGGTTTCTTTGTCAAACCGGTCCACTCAGTGAAAGAAAACAGTTTTTGATGAATCTTATATAAAGCATGCTTACATTTGGGGGGAAAAAAAGGGAAACTGAGAACAGTGGGCGGCCCATGGTAACTGCCTCTGAGTGTCAGCTATTATGACCTTATGGGCTGGGTGACTGGGGACAATTTGTTTTACTTCAGAACTCAGCTCCCCGATCTATAAACAGGAATAACAATGCTTATCTTCCAAGGTTGTATGAATTGGATTAAATGTCTTAAGCTCTGCCTGCATCTTTTCTCCAAATCCACTTTGTTTCATTTCGTCAACAAACCAGCAGCCATGCTGAGCACTCCTGATGTCGCTGCTTCTCAGATGGAGACTTGCCCCCCAAGAGCTCTGCAGTGGGCTAAAGTATGGTCCCCAAAGATGTCAGGTCCTAACCCCTGGAACCTGTGAATGTTACCTTACACAGTAAATGTTTTGGAGATATGATTAAGTTAAGGATATTAAAATGAGGAGATTGTCTGGGTGGGCCCTAATATGAGAGAAGCAGAAGAAGATGAGCTGGGGAGGAGACGGCCAGGTGGCCTTGGAGGCAGAGGTTGGAGTGAAGCCACCACAAGCCAAAGAATATGAGTGCAGCTGAGAGAGGCAAGGGCAGACTCTCCTGCGAACCTCTAGCAGTGGTTCTCAACCTTCCTAACGCCACAATGTATTTTCATTGTTAAAAAGGGGTCCCGACCCACAGGTTGAGAACCGCTGCTAGAGAGACGGCCCTGCTGACACTTGGAATTTGAACCTCTGACCTTTAGAACTGTGAAAGAATAGAGCTCTGTTGTTTTTAGCCACAGAGCTGGTAGTGATTTGTCCGAGCAGCCACAGGACACTAACACCAGCTCTTAGTTAAGCACAGAAACTGATCCCAGAGGGAGGTCAAGACAGCAGCTGCTGATCCCCCACCTCACCCACACCAGTGCTCCGGGCCGGGGATAAAGCGTGGAGAGATGGGCTCTACCTGTGCACCCCAGAAGCAAGGAAGGGCTGGGCAGGGCGTAAGGCTAAGGCTTGCAAGCAGTGAAAAAAGCAGTTCTGAAACCAGGACAACCTTTTTGGAAAGAAGTATGGAGAATCCTCAAAGAGCTAAAGATAGACCTGGTACCAGTCCCTTCCACTGGGATCCCAAATCTATCCAGAAGAAAAGAAAATCACTTTACCATACAGACATTTGCACCTGAATGTTTATCACAGCTCAATTTACAATCCCCAAGATGTGGAAACAACCCAATTGTCCATCAACCCAGGAGTGGATTAATAAACTGTAGCGTATGGATGCCATGGAGCCATAAGAAAGATGGAAATTGTGTATCCTTTGTGACTTGGATGGAGTTGGAGATCACTCTCCTGAGTAAAGCATTAAAGAAGGAAAAGACAGGCATCACATGTGCTCAACACCGACTGAAACTAGTAGATTAACAACAACCTGCTCACATGAGAGAAAAGTCTAGTTAAATCCAAGAAGGAGGGAGGTGGGTCGGCAGGTTCCTTCCCGGTGGTAACAGTGTGTGAGTGTATGGTACACCTGTGTGAGGGACATGCCTACGCCTTAGATTCTGCCTTACAAAGGCAGGTAGCAGGGCCTAATTATATATACCCTGATATTAATTGGACTTTTTAAAATTTTTTTAAAAAGTAGTTCTCCCACAGCAGAGGGTTATATATTAGAACGTGGTCAAGTGGGTAGGACAGAATCAGACAAGAATATGAACTTCATGAAATGGGTAACAGGGAGTCATGAGATGATCTTACGCAGAAGAGTAACAAGGGAAGCAAATATGAAGGCACCCAGAGCAGGACGGGAGCTGGTGCAAAAGCGCTCCCAGGATTCCAGGCATAGAGGGATGGTCTGGAGCAGGTCGGGTGCACAGAATTGGGAGGGCACTCTAAAAGGATGCTTAGCAGGCTGTGCTGGTGAAATGGGACCAGGGTTCCAGCCCACAGATTGTCAGCAGTACCAAGACAGCATCAAGAAAGGAGTGGCAGGCTCTGCGCCTATAGCTCAACCGGCTAAGGCGCCAGCCACGTACACCTAAGGTGGCGGGTTCGAATCCCCAGCCCGGACCCGCCAAACAACAATGACGGCTGCGACCAAAAAATAGCCGGGCGTTGTGGCGGGCGCCTGTGGTCCCAGCTACTTAGGAGGCAGAGGCAGGAGACTCGCTTGAGCCCAGGAGTTGGAGGTTGCTGTGAGCAGTGAAGCCATGGCACTCTACCCAGGGGAACAGCTTGAGGCTCTTGTCTCAAAAAAAAAAAAAAAAGAAAGGAGTGGCAGTAAGGCATTCAACGGGAAATGAGTGGCTGGCAGGTGGAGAGCAGGACTTGGCGTCTGAGTGAGAAGGTGGGACTGTGTGTGGGGGCAGAGCAGGCATCACCGAACCCCATGCAGGGACCCCACTGCTTCATGCAAAGACAAAGATGACAACTATGAGGATCCCTGCCATTTTTAAGCACTCACAACATGAGCTCTGGTGGGTTCTGAAGACAAAAGCTGCCTGGAAGGAAAACTAGATATTATCACGTACTGGCTGGGAAACATTGGCCAGGAGTTTAACGCACTTTGTGTTCTTATCTGTAACACGCTGCACTCGTGACAGTGGAAGATAAGAACAGGGACCGCATCTGCCTTTTTTGAGGTAGAGTCTTAATCTGTGCCCTGGTAGAGTGCCTTGGCATCATAGCTTATAGTAACCTCTAACTCCTGGAATCAAGCGATCCTCTTGCCTCGGCCCCCAAGTAGCTGGGCACCTGCCATAACACCTGGCTAGTTTTTCTATTTTTAGTAGAGACAGGGTCTCACTCTTTCTCAGGCTGGTCTCGAACTCCTGAGCTCAGGCAATCCTTCCAGAGTGTTGAGATCACAGGCTGGAGCCACCACGCCTGGCCAATTTCATCTGTCTTTTTATCATGGAATCCCCATGTAAGATTCCATAAATGTCTACTAAACAAATAAACAAGTTCATTTAGTCCTCACAACTATGCTTTGAGGCCAAGTATTGTATTGTATTACTAATTCCATCTGAAAGATGAGGAGAGCTGAGTCTCATAAAGGTTAGCCAACTAAGCTAAGGCCACACAGCCAGTGGGTCTGGGAATCCAAACCATGTCTTCCTGACTCTCAAGTGTGTGCTGCTAGCCATTATGGTGCCTGTCCCCTCTATTAATATGTGGCTGACAGGATGGTCCCGGAGGGTTAAGAGGCTGCCTGTCTCCTTGGAACAGGCTATAGAGAAGTCCCATGAGCTGGCCCCGCTGTGCCTCCTTTGAACCCAGTCATGGGTCACAGAGTCTTGGCAGGTTTTGCCATAAAGTCTAGACAATGAGAAACCTGCCATTCATTTATAACTTTGCTCAGTGAGAGGAAAAAACAAGAACTTCTGGCTCGGCGCCTATAGCTCAGTGGGCTAAGGCGCCAGCCACATACACCTAAGGTGGCGGGTTCGAATCCCCAGCCCGGGCCCGCCAAAACAACAATGACGGCTGCAACCAAAAAAAAATAGCCAGGCGTTGTGGCGGGCGCCTGTGGTCCCAGCTACTTGGGAGGCAGAGGCAGGAGACTCGCTTGAGCCCAGGAGTTGGAGGTTGCTGTGAACTGTAATGCCACGGCACTCCGCCCAGGGGGACAGCTTGAGGCTCTGGCTCAAAAAAAAAAAAAAGAACTTCTACAGTCTTTCTGGCACATGGAGACTCATGTTTGTAGTTCCAGTAGCTAAGGCTGAGGAGAAGGGCAGAACCTGCAGACAGGAACCTGGGAACGCAGTGGAGATGCGTCAGGACAGATGGTGGGAGTGACCATGGCTAGAACAGCACGCACAGGAAGAGGAAAGATGCCTGCCTTGGGAAACCTCACCTGTGATGATGACTTCATCCCCATCCTGAAGGAACTTCCTGGTCTGTCCATTCCCCAGCTCTATGGGCTTCGTCCCCCTCCAAGACAGCTCCAGCATGGAGCCAAAGCTTTCTGGTTCCTTTGTAACAGGAAAAGAAAACAGACACAAGTATTTACACCTGGGAGGGTGGGCGTGTCAGCTCTGCTATGGACAGTAATCAGGAACACCTGGAACAGGCCCGCACGAGGGCAGGGAGACCTCGTGCTCCTCAACCTCAGTGGGACTGCTGTGGAAAGGCCCTTGAGACTCAGCACTCTGCCCCTTCCCCTGCAGGCAGGAGGCCTTCCCACCAGAGGCAGCTTTCATTTCATTCAGGACTGTGAATCCCTCACCAGGGTGCCCAGTCCCACCACCCCACTCCCACCAATGCCCCTCCCCACCACCCACACACTATGATGCTCAATGCCGCCCCACTGGGCAGAGAGTGCTCTTTGAATAAGAGGGTGCGGCAGGGCCTTGCAGGGAGTGACTGACATACACCACACCCCAGCGTCATCAACTGTGAAGGTTCTGAAACTCTATCCTGGTTTACAGAGGCACGGGGAAGGTGGGAAGGGCTGTGCAGTATGGCCACCTCATGCCGGGGGACAGGGGGATGGTGGCGCAGTGAGAGATGAGGCAGAGAACCAACCTCCCATTCCTATGCCAGCCTCCTCCTTAGGCTGGAATTTGGAAGAGAAGGCCCTCCTGTACCTAGTGAGGGATGAGACTATAAGGAAGATGGGGTAGTAAGATACACCCACCCTGGGCTTGCCATTCCTTCTCCAGGGTGAGCTGAAGGCTTTGTGGTTTGTCTGAGGAATAGGGGTATTTTGAAGGCAACACAGTACTCACTGGCCCACTGATGGTTCCAGAAGCCAAGAGGTCCCCTGGTCGCAGATTGCAGCCATTGACAGAGTGATGCGTGAGCTGCTGCAGCATTGTCCAGTACATATACTGTGGGAGGCACACAGTGGGGCCGCAGGTGCACACTCACCCTCACCCAGTCACCATGCCCTTTCCTGGCTGCCCCAGCCAACTCTCCCTGATCCCTTAGAGCAACAGCACACTGTCCTCCTGGACAGCTGCCTGGGGACCTCCCAAGTTCTCTCCTACCTCCTCCAGGAGATTAGTTCCTCCTCTACCTCCTTCTCCAAGAAGCACTGCCTGAGAGCCCCCCTCACTGCTTCGCCCCCAGTCAGCAGCATCCCCATCTGTATGTGATTCTCAGCTGCCCATGGGCACCCTTGAGCCCTAGGTGGGGTCTAGGTCCTCACTTCGGCAGATGCTTCTTGTGAGCAAATGCCCCACTCACATTCTCCCATCCCAGGCTTTGGAGGGGACATTGGGCAATGGAGCAGAATGATTCTAATATGACATCAGAGCAGACTGAGGAAGAAGGAACACTCAGGGAGGCTGGGATGTGGACGGAGGGGGCCAAGGAGCCATGTGGCCATTGAGAGGCTCAGAGGCAGCCTTAGACCAGAGACAGTTCTTAGCCATGAGCCCTCTCAACAGGCCCCCTTGTTGCTTCTTAATAGCTTACGGAGTCCAGAATAATGTCAGATTAAAGGGAGATGAGGGGAATTCGAAATGCAGGGATTCAGAGTGTCTTCCAGTGGCCCTAAACAAACAGATGATAAACACACGACAAAGGCACCCAGGTGCACCCCTCACCAGGGAAATGCAAACTGAAATCACAGTCCCCCAGAATGGTTGGAATGAACAGGCAAATGACACCTCATGCTGACGAGGACGTGGAGCAGCTGAAATGCTAAAACGCTGCAAGCAGGTGTAAATCAGGGTGAGCACTTTGGGAGACTGGAGGTTTCCATGCTGAGTGTGCATGTTCTCTATGACCAGCAATTCCACTCCTGGATATACACCCAGCAGGAACGTGCACAGAAAGTGTGTACTAGGTGGTCGCAGCAACTCTGCAACAGCCAAAATATGGAACCAACTAAATGTCCAGCAATAGTAGAGTGGACCAATCAATTATGGAATATTCACACAGTGAAACGCTTTATGGTAATGAGTAAAATGAGCTATCACTGTGGGCATAATGCCAATACAAGGAGCCAGGCATAAAACAAGACCTGCTGTATGATTTCGTTGCTAGAAAATGGAAAAACAGACAAGATTAATATATGATAATGGAAGGCAGGAAACAGGTGACCTTGCTGGCGGAAGGAGGGAGGGGGCCTGCTGAGACACTGGGAATTTCTCATTTCTGAGCTGGGCGCTGGTTACATAGGGATGCTCATTTTGTGACACTCCCTCAAGCTGTGCACTTATGCCATGTGCATTTTTATCTGCCTGTGTTATGCTTCAATTAAAAATTCACTTAAAAAAAAGTTGCTCTCATTAATCCAGCCCCAAGCAGGACAGGAGAAACCAGCGACTTGACCCTCTGGAATCACCTATTGTCACCTAAGAAAATTGCTGGCCACATCTATGCAGCTTCTATCTCTGGAGAACTCTGTGACCTCATGCTATTTCTAGAAAAAGACAAGGATGTGGAAGCTCCAGGCCCACGGGCTGACCCACTGTCACATCCCAACATGGATCCTGTTCTCCTGCTGGGCCAGGGGCAAGGTCTCCCTCTTTCTCCTCCTTCCAGGAAGCCATCTGAGCACTCAGAGCTTACCTTGAAATTGGACCTGCATATGGTGGTTGAGTGGCTCATTCCTTCTCCTGGCAGGAAGAGAAGAGAAGCCTCAGTGCAGAAGCCTGCATTCCACTAGTGGAGCAGGAAAACACACAGAGGCACACAGAGTCGCTCCGCGGCCTGCAAGCCTGGGAAACTAGTGAGCTCACAGGACATCAGAGCTGAGACACTTCCACAGGGATGACCCAGCCTAGGATTGGAAATACATGAGCACAGGCCACAGCTTTCTCCTCCCAAACCCACAGCAGACAGCATTCACCGATCACCTACACATGCTCCTCTGAGTCCTGGTGTGGCCTTGGAGCCCTTCTTAACACACTGCTCCCAGCAGCCACATGTCTCCTGGAGAGGGTGTGCCAGCTGAAGCCTGCTTGTGATCTGTGGTCAAGGAGAACCCACTATCCCCTCAGAAGCCCTCTGGATTTCTGGGCCACCTGTCTGCCCCCTCTCCAGCTGCTCCAGTGACAGGCAGTGAGCTACTTCCCCGTTTGTGGTATTCACTGAGCACCCACATGTGCAAAGCCACCAGGTTACTGCTGCTCTACTCAGAACAGTGCTGACAAGTAGAAAGCTCTTCTACTCCCTGGAAATCAAGCTTCAACCTTTGGCTCTGGCCTCCCCTCTGAGGTGGCTCTGAGCAGGTGTGCTCCTCAGCACACAAAATGTCTGTGGCCCCCAAGCTGGCTCCTCCAGAGATCGTTTCACCCAGATCGCAACTGGGACTGTCAGAACTGCACATTCAGGCCGGCATGTCTGGACACTGCTTTCTTGATGATCTTGTCCCTCCCCAACAGGGCCCTTCCTGGATGTGCTTGCCCCAGGGGAGGCAGGAGGCAACACCTAAAGGAAAACATGGCAGGAAGGCACTCCAAGGGTGCATCAGTGGACGGAGGAGACCAGCCTAGAGCTTAGGATGCTGGGATTCAGTCCCAGCCTTGACATCAGCCAGCTAAGTGAGTTGGGGGGTCCTTTATCCTCTCTGAGTCTCAGTTTCCTGACATGCAACATGAAAAGGTGTGGCCAGCACAGTTTCCCAGAGCCACTAACATGCTACCGGGCTCCTTCTAACAGCCCTTTCCTCCAAGGAGCATCTGGAGGGCAGGAAGCCTCCTGCCAGGAGCAACTCCAATGGGAAAGACATGGTGTGTAGACAGGACAGAAGGAGGCAAGAAACCGAGGAGTAAAGGAGGCTCAGCCAGAGTATGGCCCAGCAGGTATGGGTGTGGCTACCAAGCAGGCCCTCTCCCTCTGAGGCCCCCAACAAAGGACTGGAAAATGACACCTGCCCTTAGGTACAGGCACTGTGATGACCTTTTTGTTAATTGACTTGCTCAGCTCTCATAACACACCACAAGGTCAAGGCTGCTCTGATCCCATTTCACAGATGACTTGCCTAAAGTCCTAGCTGGGCAGCAGCAGAGCTGTGGCCTCCAGAGTGTCCATCACTGACACTCTGTTGCTCTGCTGCTGGTGCCAGGCTGAGCAGCCACAGGGGATGTGAACCTTATCTGCACAGCTCTCAGGGCTAGGTTGGGGTGGGAACTGGGGTGCTGAGTGTCCTGGCTCCATGAAGACACAGAGGGCTCAGCCTGGCCTCCCAGAGAAGGTCCAGGACAGACTCAGACAGGCACTCAGTGGAAGGGGCCACCCCCATGGGGGTGAGGGCAGAGGTGCTGTGTGAGCAGTGCCAGGCCCACCCTGGGTGGCAGGCCAGAGAAGGACTCACATGAAGACAGAGGTCCTGTAATCCACACCTTTCAGTCCTAAGAGCTAAGAGCTCAGTGACAGGGATAATGTCACGAGGCCCAGCAAGGCTCCCTTCCAACACAAGCAGGTCCCCTGAGCACTTCTTCCCTTCAGGAGAACCACACATGTCTCCAGGCTGTCGCAGCTCCCTCCCTCTCACCTACTTTGCCAAAGCCCAGGAGTCAATGGGGCAGGGCCTGGACACAGGGGCCCATGGAGCCCCTAGGCACACCACCAGCCCCATAGTATACCTTTCAGCATGACAGAGAGGTCGATGTCAAACGTGTAGGGCTGGTCGTGGCACAGGTACGGCAGGGGCTTGGGATCCTGGGAGGGCAGAGCATGGCACAAAGGTCACTGATAGAGCTGAGATCACCCAAGCCAGGCCCCTGAAGCTCCTGCTCTTCCCCCACCCACAGTGAAGAGGGCCAAGCCAGCAGAAGCAGCCCCTCTCCTGGGCCCTTGCATTGTGTCCCTGGACACAGTGTCCCTACAGCATGGGGTGGGGGTGGTCATATGGGCCAGGCTTTGGGAGAAGCAACTGAGGGAGGGGCACCCATAGGTCAAAGGTCATAGGAGCCAAACTGGGATTGTCTCAGAAAGCCAGGTGAGGGGAGAGCTAAGGAAGGTGGGCAGTGAGGGGCCTCAACAGGAACATCATGAGGCCTGTGGGGAAAGGCTGGGCCTAGGGAGGCCTTGGTGGTCAGCGAGGCAGACAGCCCAGTCTGGTGCTCACGTCAGCCAGGGAGGCAGTGTCACCTGCTAGGCGGAACATCTGCACTTTGGCCAAAAGCAGTGTTTTCCCAAAGTGTGATGCATGAGTCACTAGTGGGACATGAGGTTGTTTTGGTGAGTTTAGTAGTTAAACATGCTTCTTTTTACAATTAAAGGTACAGCTAGTGATGTCGGGGACATGAAGTTCCTTTTCTCAACATATTAAAGTTTTTAACTGAGAACTTCTCTAAAGAAAAACATGAAATATAGCCGGGTGTTGTGGTGGGCACCTATAGTCCCAGCTATTTTGGAGGATATGTCTGAGGCAAGAGAACTGCTTAAGTCCAGGAGGACTTGAAGGTTGCTGTGAGCTGTGACACCATGGCACTCTACAAAGGGCAACATAGTGAGACTCTGTCTCAGAAAAAAAAGAAAGAAAGAAAGAAAGAAAGAAAAAGAAAGAAGAAAAACATGAAATAAATAATAGTTCAGAAGGGTCAAGAGACATGAGGACTACACATAAATAGTATTTAGGAAGGGCTGGCACAGGGGATGGCAAGGCCCAGACATCTCTGGCCAGGGCAAAGCAGAGACAACAGCCCTGGACAAAGGCTGGGGACTGAAGCATGAGTAGGGGGAGGCTGCAGCCGAGAAGCAGCAAGGGGGACACACAGGCTGCTGCCAGCTACAGAGGAGGTGACATGTGGGGCTCATAAAGAGGGAGAGGGGGACAAGTCTTGGTGACTGAGGCAGGTGCAGTGAGGGGGGAGTGGGGAATGGTATGAGAACCCCACAGGACTTTCATGGGGATCTGGCCTATAAAGAAAGACCTCCATCTGTTTGGAGCCCAGCAACTGTGAGGTGACCTCAGCGAGAATGGCCTGGGAGGCAGAGGAGGCCCCAAGGGAGCAAGCACGGAAAGTTGGTTTGGAAGGACGTGTAAACGGCTGGGAGCTCGGCCTGGGCCCCACAGGCAGGACAGAGTTAGAGTGGGCACTTTGGGACTCAGGGACACCAGAGAACCAGGGCAGGTCACGTGCCCCAAGCCAAGTGAGGTATGCCCAGGAAGAGCATGTAGCCACAAGGATATCCATGCTAAAGGGGGCATGAACATCTGGTCACAGGTGACTCTGGCCAACAGTCGCTGGTGATGGGGTGGGACTGTGGCCAGGCTGTAGCAGGCTAAGGAGGGAGGATAAGACCAGGCAGGAACTGGGGAGCTGCAGGGGTTGCACCCCCTTACCACTGGGCTTCAAATTGCTTTCTGTGGGTTGGGCTCCAGGGTGTGCCCTTTGCACAGAACAAAACTGAAGGCCACCTAGGAAGTTGTGCAATGGGGAGATACTGTCGGGGACCCCTTCTCCTGCCAACTGGCCAGTTCCCTTATTCTAAAGTTTACACAATTCTGTTTTCCCCCAAGAACTGTGCTAGAGAGCAGAAAAACAATGGGGAGTGACAGATGCCACAGCTGCCTAGAGGTGACAGTGATGGGGTCCCGAAGGGCACTTCAACATGCACATGGGGTAGGCATGGAGCTGCCGCTCCCACAGTCTGCATGCCCGCAGTGGGTACTCCCCACACTTCTGGCAGTCTGCACGCTTGCAGTGGGTGTTCCCCACAGAGGGTGTGCTCACCTGCTCTGGATTTGGCACAGCAAAGGGCAGGAGGGCGTCCATGGGCACCACCCACGGAGAGATGGTGGTTCCAAAACTCTTCCCCAGGAAAGGCCCAAGAGGGACATACTCCCACTTCTGAATGTCTCGAGCTGCAAAGGGGCAGACCCAGGACTTACAAAGGCTGACTGGGGGCAAATCTTCAAACTGGGAGAGATTCTTCCTGGGACCCAGGGTACCATGTCCCTCCTACATACGGCACAGGGCTGACAGCAAGGCTGTTAACCTCAAATCTTAGCTTAGCAATTAACTGAAATCTCTCTGAACCTCGGTTGCTCATCTGTAAAATGGAAAATTACCATTACCTTGCAGGGATCTGTGGGAAAATAAAGGTGGGGCATTAAGCACATAATAAGTGCCCAATAAGTACTAGTTATGGTGTCAGGCACACCCTTATCAACTTAAGAGAAAATTCGATCTCAGAGAAATTATGGGACTGGGCCAAGTTCTCTCAGCCAGAAGTCTGTCTGATACCTAAACCCACGGTCTCAGCCACTATAACACCTGCCGCCACTGGTCAGCAGCTGAAACCATCCCTTGCTTCTGTGCAAGTGTCCCATGTCCCCAGGCTGCCGCTGGCCTCCCCCAAAGCCGGCACTTAGAGGGCCCGGTAATCACCACTCCAGTCGTTCATCAGCACCATCCCGAAAATGTGCTCATGGGCCTTGGAGATGGGGATCAGCTCCCCGAGTCTGTTCCCGGGGCCTACAAAGAAAGCCTGATGTGGGGGAAGGTGATTAGAACCTGGGGCTGGGCCAGGCGCCTATAGCTCAACCGGCTAAGGCGCCAGCCACGTACACCTAAGGTGGCGGGTTCGAATCCCCAGCCCGGACCCGCCAAACAACAATGACGGCTGCAACCAAAAAATAGCTGGGCACTGTGGCGGGCGCCTGTGGTCCCAGCTACTTGGGAGGCGGGGGCAGGAGACTCGCTTGAGCCCAGGAGTTGGAGGTTGCTGTGAGCTGTAATGCCACGGCACTCTACCCAGGGGGGACAGCTTGAGGCTCTGTCTCAAAAAAAAAAAAAAAAGAACCTGGGGCTGACCTTTGTCACCTAGAGAGCAAAGGTCAGGCCTGTCCAAGCCCTGCCCTAGGAGCAGGACTGCCACAGGGGCCTGGGAGAGGCTGCTGTATTTCCAGGTGGCGACCCACACCAAGCTGCCCAGGAGAGCGGTATGTAGCAGCATGGAGGTACCCACCAGGGCCCACCACATGACCCAAGTGTCACTGCAACCTCTTTCCTCCAGCACACCCCAGGCCATCCCTCTCTGTCCTCTTCACCCCATATATTACAACTTGATACCACATGAAACTTGTGAGAAATGAAAAGATGAGAGCTTGTATCCATGTCAGAGGCAATCAAAAGGTGACCTCCTTAATGCAGCAAAGAGCGCCTGATGGGGCACATCGCACAGCCCCGTCCCCCCTGCTGCCTGCCGTGTCTGAAGCAGACGATAACGGACACCGTGTGTGTGAACTAGCAGAACACTCAGATATTATCAGGGAGAAACTGAGACATCGCTTTCAAAGGCACACAGACTTGGCTATGGCATTTGGAAACATGAGTGACACAGTTTAAACACTGCAAATTTTTCATTAAGATTAAAAATAAAAAGGCTGGGTGCCTTAGTTCAGTGGTTAAAGTGCTAGCCTTGCAAACTGGGGGTGGTGAGTTTGATCCTTGCCTGGGCCTCCCCCTGATTAAAAAAAAAGAGAGAGAGAGAGATAAAAACAAACCCCCCAAGGGCACCATCCCACTGAGAAATCCACCTTCTCCTGTATCATTTGTGCGCTTTGCCCCACCCTTGTCCCTACTCCGACGTCTTTCCTTTACTCTGCTCCAACTATCCAGACGGGGCCAGCACCGGTGGGGCATCTACCTGCAGTCCTTCATTCTCCCTGAGAATAGATCCTGGTCCCAAACCAGAGGGCTCCCAGGGTACCCCCAGGAAGGTGGCAGGAGGCAGAGGGCTGCCAGAATGCTCTGCTACCCTCCGGCCACCCCAATCCTCTCCTCTGCCAAATCCAGAGAAATCAAAAGGCAGCAAAGTTGTGACAGAGAGTTCTAGAAAAGCCAACTAGGTCTCCAGCCTACATCAGCCAACCCTGGATTTCCACCGCTGGAGCCCAAATGGGTGGTCACTGCCCTCCTCCTACATCTGCGGTGACGAGGCACTCAGAGCTTCTGAGGCACCACATTAAGCCATGGGTGCTGCCTGTGGGAAAGCCCTCCACCCACCTGCCCACAGCCCCTGACCTTGCCTGGTGCCACCACCGTTACCAATAGCCCAGCAAATGCTGAGACACTGCCAAGTGCCCACAACCCTCCCTCCTCTGGTTCAGTTGCCCCTGGTCCCTTCTCATCTGGAGACTGCCCAGAGTTCAGTGTCTCTCTTAGAAAGGGCAGCTCTGTAGCAGCACAAGGGACTCCTGGGTTGATGGGACCAACAGCCAGTGACAATACCTGGGCTGTGCTGCTATGCCCCAGTTACACGGGAAGTTGCCACCAGGGGAGACCAGGTGAAGGATATTGGGATCTCTGCATTATATCTCACAACCGGATGTAAGTCTATAATGACCTCAAAATAAAAACCTCAGTTGAAAGAAATGTGCAACCCTGGAGGGATCACAGCTGTGCAGGTGTGTGGGCCCAGCCTCAGTGTGGTGGGGCTGGCATGGCTCATTCCCGCTCTTCACGGTAGTGATGTTCTGTTAACAGGTGTCCTCAAACTACAGCCTGCAGGCCACATGCAGCCCACCTAGGACATTTATCCGGCCCGCTGGGTATTTTTGCTGCTGCTGCCTGTCCTGCTTAGCAGCCGACTCATCCCAGGGCCCACAGTCCGGCCCTCCAACGGTCTGAGGGACAGTGAACTGGCCCCCTGTTTAAAAAGTTTGAGGACCCTTGTTCTGTAACATCACTGCAGATGCTGAACCTTGTTTCCAGGGGAAACCCAGGGTTGGTTAGGCTCCTGCCAGTCTCTGCTCAATCCCTAACGATATGACCTGCTTCATGCATGTTTTTGTTTAAAGGCACCTCATCTAATATATCTTGCTGATTTGTTACCACTGAACCAACAAACAGCCACACTGTGGCCAAAGCATTATCTAACTTGTATACTTTCTCCAGAAAGCACATCAGAGACTTCTTGCAGAGATAAACACTGGACGGAACTTCAGCACTGCACTTGAGGACCATTATAAACTGTTAAATCACCCCCTAAAAAGCACAAAACATGAAAAATGTGGCATCAAAAAGACCACAGAAAGGACATGCACGTGCTTAGACAGGAAAACAGTCACCTTGTTTGATCTCATCTGGGACCACGTGCCAGTCTGATGTGACTCACATTTTTCACTGCTCTGCATATGTCCATGAATGACCACAAAAGCCCTCCAAATATTCATTTCAGGGTTATAAATAAATTTTCACAAGCAGGCAAATTTGCAAATACAGAATCTGCAAGTAATGAGGATGGACTGTATTTCTGACAGACTGATGGGGACACAGAGCCGGCTAGAGAGGAGTGGATAGCTCAGGACACGGGACAGCCCCCACAGAGGGCTCTCATGCCGAAAGGTTTAACAGATCTTGTGGTGACAAAATACCGAGGCACCGCTTACCATTTCCAACTCTATGTCCAGGAGTTTGCAGGGGCCATATACAGGGGGCTTAGCTGGAAGAACAGAAAACAGAGTGCTGTGAGGCCCTGCTCACACAGGGCTGGGCACCCACCGGGCTCGGCACTGGGAGGCCCCTCATGCACAGCGATGGCACCTGGAGGACTGGGTGCCGTGAGGTCCCGCACACACAGGGCTGAAACACACAGGGCTGGGCTCTGGGGTCACTCACAGTCATCAGGCTTCATCTGTCCCATGGGCCTTCGGATCGGGGTGCCAGACACCACGACAGAGGAGGCACGGCCATGGTAGCCCACAGGTAAGTGTAGCCTGACGCAGGAAAGCAAGGGAGTAGAGGACACCAGTGCTGTTACAAATTGTAAAATAAACTTCAAAAGCATTAAAAAGTAGAAACCGAGTCAACATAGATGCAGAGTTCAAAAATCAAAAGGTATCCCTGAGTGTCCACCCACGGAGGAAGGGATACGCAAAATGTGGTACATAAATGCAGTGAAATATTATTTAGCCTTAAAAAGGAAATCAATTTTTTGACATGCTACAATGTGGATGAAACTGGAAAACATTACACTATGTGACAGAAGGATAAATGCTGCATGATTCCTTTTCTCTGAGGTCCCCAGAGTAGTCAGATTCAAAGAGAAAGAAAGTGGAATTTGGCTGCCAGGGACTAAGGGAAGGAGGGGAAGGGAGTCGCTGCTTACTGGGTACAGAGCTTCAGTTTTGCAAGATGGGAACAGTTCTGGAGATGGACGGTGGTGATGGTTGCTCAGTGTGAATGTACCTAGCATCACTAAACTCTCAAAAGCGGTGAAGATAATAAATTTTATAATGTATGTATTTTGCAGTTTTTTTAAATTTTGACTTTTTTAAAAATCAGAAGGTGCTCAAGGGTGAATTTTTCAACTGTTTCTCTACCATTAAGCATTCAGATTGCTTTCAGCTTTGAGCCCCTAGAAATACTGCTAGTAAACATCCCTGCCCTTGAATACAACACATTAGTGTTTTTATTTCTGTAGGACAGATGCACAAAAGTGAGACTATAAACATTTAAATTATAAATGGTTTGCATCTACAGTTTGGGTTGATCACATTAAGCATATTTACCTTTATAATAAAGAACAGGTACATGAAGTAAAAAGGCCACACCAGGCCACCATGCCTCCCATGCCAATAGAGAAGCCCTGTTCACTCTTATTCTGCAGGACACAGGACAGAGATAGCCATAGCTCCCAAACGTGGCTTCAGACACTGATAAAAATCGGTGTCCCAGGACCCAGTCTCTCCTCTCACTTCCCGCTGCCACTGTCCTTTGGCTACTGGGTTCCTGGAACCCAAGTGACAGATAGCTCCTCTGTGCCACCAACACTAGAATAGACAGGTTTGGGCAGTTTGGGACAAACATAGCCCAGAGCCTGCATAGGGCCAGAGTCTTTAATATTTGCCCACCTTAAGTAGAAGCCTGGAGCCTGGGTTCTGGTCCCAGTTTCGCCCCTGCCCTGTTTCTCCTTGCCCTTGGTGCTTAACTTCTTTGGGTTGACACTGCTCTCTCCCTTTTCTCCCTCCTCTTGGTCCTGACAGACCTTTCCCTTGTGGCATGACTAGGGTGACCAGACGTCCCGCTTTTGAACAACTTGTCCCACGTCCTGTGGTGTTTTTAAAAAGTCCCGATTTTTGGAAAGAATGCACAAACTGGTGGGAGAACAAGAAGGGAATATACAGTTTTTGGCTGCCATGTGGCCATTTAGCCAGAATACGAGTTTTATATTATTTTTGTTAATTTTATAATGTTAAACTGTAATAATAACAAATAATTGCTGAGAAGTGATTATCAAGAACTGCTTATCAAAGTTTACATTGTTGTCAGGTCCTGCCCTGCCCTGTCCCCTGCCCTGCCCCTACCACACCCCCCGGCCGTGTTGTCCCGTGTTACCAATGTTAAAATCTGGTCACCCTAGGAATGACCCATCTGAAACACTTGCTCTAAGAAGAGCAGGTTGCTGGCAGCTCCTGGGTCTAGGGTGTGTTCCTCCCACTGTGTCCAGACCTCTCAGTTCTAAGCAACTGCCACATCCACAGATAGCACAGAACAAAAGGGACCACAGCTCTGGGTCCTTGGCCTGGGCAGTGGCACTGACGGAGCTGGGAGACAGGCTTGGACCCTGTTCATCCTCAGGCTGGTGGATGCTTCTCAGCGCTTGTTTCCCGCCCATAAAATGGTGAGGACCTCCGCAACCTCATAGAATATCAGAAGAATCAAATGAGAGGATATAATAAATCAGGTTTGAGGAATACATGGCCCTGAGCACACCTGAGGATTCTTCCTCATCAGAGAATGTAAGTGTGGACCGTGCTGAGGGCTAAGGCTCACTGACAGAACAACACACGACTTACAAATGAAAGACTCCAGAAGGATGAGGTGACTTGGGAACTCTAATTCCTATCTCCGCTCTCTAGATCAGTGTTTTTCAACCTTTTTTTTTTTTTTTTTAAATCTCACAGCACACTTGAACCTATAGTTGAATTTCCATGGCACAATTAAATTAAGTAGTTCAAAAAAACAGTAAAAAAAAAAAAAATACTATGCTTTGAATTTCTTTTGAAAATAATTAATGATCTTTAAACATGTTTGCATCATACCTAAGACATTCACAGCACACCAGTTGAAAAATCATTGCTCTAAATGAAAACGCTTAAGGGACTTGCCTTGCTCAGCAGGTCCTGAGCCAAGCTGAGAAGACCAGAAGCTGAGACTACTGTGTGCAGAGGTTACAAGCTCATGGTCATTACTGGTTACATGGTCATTACCCAGTTTACTGTGACCTAAGAAGGCTTGGCAGCTCCTGCAACAAAGATACTGATGGAAATGGAAAGACAGATTTTGAACTCATCCAGACACCTGGTCTAGAACATACCAGTTCGGCATCAGTGCATTGTCCTTGCCCCTGAACATGATCCCAACGTTGGTAGCATGCTGCCGAGAGGAATAGAAGTCTGTGTAGTCTCCTGCAAAAGACCCAAGAGATCCCATCAGTGACCCAGATTCTATGGGATGGAGAAGGGATGGTCCCAGGGATTGGGGCCATAAGTGTACACACAACAATGTTTGCACACCCCAGAGCTCAGCCTGCATCCACTACTCCAGCGGGGGGATACCAGTGCAACACAAAACAGCCTCACTAAAGGTTTGTTTTAAAGCTCACAAACAAATAAGAAATTAGGAGCCCAGATTTTCTAAAACACATAGTAGAATTTGGATATGAAATGGCTGACACCACATCGAGCCCCGTTTCATTAGACTTCCCTTCCATCCCCCAGTGCCAAGGACAAGGTCTTGTTCAGGGCAGGTGCTGAGTCAGGGTCTGCTGATTATGACAAGCTGAATGGGGTGGTTTGCAAGCTGCAGACCCTGTCGTCTGAAGGAAAAATTAGTAGGGACAGTTGCCTGTTTATCTTTCTGAATCTTTCCTTTGGGGGGAAAAAATCTGGGTACACACCAGTACCAACAACCTAGACTAGAAAGGAAAGTGGTGAAGGACAGGAGAGAAAGAAAAGTCCATGGGGCAGATCAGAGGCTTGGGGCAGACAAAGCCTCAGCTGCTGCTTCCTATCTTAGCCACAGCACATAGACATAACAACTGAGATATTTTCCAAAAGAATAGATCCATAACAAAAAAACAAGAAGGGGCACAATCAGTCAACCACACATCATGGGGATTCTCTAGGATAACTGGTTTGCACAGGACCAAGGGTACAGGAGGAGGAGGAGTGAGAGGCCAATTGCAGAAGGTGATTCGGCACCTGTGCCCAGCCCCACCTATCTCTAGTCCCTTCTGTCCCCACCCTTTAGCCAGCTTTATCCAAGCAGCCAGCTGCTGGGGATAAAGCCCAGAATCTTGATTCTCAGCCCAGAATCAAGAGCTGACCCAGAGCACCCAGATTTCCTGGGGCAGGGAAGCCAGCCCCTCAGCAAACAGGGGCCATCCCACCCAATGGGGGAGGTTGCCTCTCATGGGGCAGAGAGCTGGACAAGGACAGAGGGCCACAGGCTGATTCGGCCTCTCTCTGCATTAGGCTGAGAGAGCTTCCATAATTCCAACTTCCTGACCTACACTCATCCAGACACCCTGCTAAGTGCACACATCACACTGGGGCCCTACACAGCCTTCTGGCCTCCTCACTCACCACTGGAGCTCAGAGCACTTGCCCCACCGCTTTGGGGAAAATAAGAGCCTGGTTACAAACCTGAGCAGCTGGCAACTGGCCCAGGCGAGCCCCTTCGCCCTGACACATGGGCTGAATTAATGCTCTACTTGTGTGTTAAGGAGGGTCAGTGGGGGGAAGGGGATAGTCCCAGAGCCCCTCTTACATTTCTTCTCCCACCCACATGGACACAGGGACCAGGGCACCAGGCCAGCCCCCTTGGCCCACTAAGCTGCCTGGTCCTTGTCTCAGTAAACTGACTGAACTCACCTATGGTGGCTGGCAGGTGCATTATAGCAGAGGCCTGGGAGGTGAATGCACTGAAACATAGAACCAGGAATTTCAAGGTCATGCAAGTGACATGGCTGGGTCCCTACTATGGTTATCTACCCTCAGGCTTAGCCCCAACCCCCTAGGACTCTGCTTATAATCTCCGGAGCGTACTTCTGCCCAAATGGGTACAGCTGGGCTGAACCTGGCCACAACACTGAGGATGTTCTCCCACCAATGCTGAAACACCCTTTCCTATTTCTACATTCCACCCTAATTCCACTGGGACTAGAGTGGTAGGGACTCCTCCCCACTCTAGACACAGACAGGAACACAGATGCTGATGAGGAAGAGCTGAGGAAGAGAGCAGCCCCTACCCTGGCACCGAGGCAATCCCGGTCCATCCAGTACCCTCCCGCCAACCTGCAGCCCGGCAGGGGCTGGGTGAAGGCTGGTCTGAGTCTACCCAGCACACAATCTGCTATGCCCCTGCTGCCCCATGTGTCCATATGTTCCTTTACCGCTTCCGCAGCTCTGCATCATCTCTCAGCCTCGCCTGGCCAGCAGACAGCAAGTTCTGTAAGCACGCTCTGGCCTCCTTCCAGGCTGCCTGACCCAAGCCCATGAAGCTGTTGAGAACAGGCTAGGACCAAAACAGGGAGAGAAGATCACTCCATGGGGGACCCCTCCTGCCAAAGGGAGGCTAAACTGTGGCCAGCCCCTGCCACTACTTTCCCAGTCATTCTAACTCTCAGCACTTCTGCTCTTAGTTCTCACCATGCTGGAGAAAGGCTTCACCTTTCTCACCCCTCACAGACTTGCCCTCCACTGTCCAGGCCCAGGAGCTGCTCCCTGGGACAGCAACCGTCAAGCTTGGCCCAGGTACAGGTTCCAGGGGAGGCACAGTCCCATCTGCAAGGGTACTGCAGCCTAACCAGCCCCTTTCACAGAAGCTCAGAAGAGGTTTCATAGCCAGTGAGACATAGCAGAAAAACCACACATGGGCTCTGAGAGTCGGTGTTCCCACCCTAACTCTAACACTTCCACCTGTGTGACCTGCGAGAATCATGTCTCATTCCAGAGGCTCGGGTGTCCATCCATGTAGTGACGATTCCAATTCTTTTTTTTTTTTTTTTTGCAGTTTTTGGCCGGGGCTGGGTTTGAACCCACCACCTCCAGCATATGAGGCCAGCGCCCTACTCCTTTGAGCCACAGGAGCTGCCCGACAATTCCAATTCTTATGCCAGAGGGTTGTTGGGAGGAATGAAGGAAAGCATGTATGCAAAGCTCAGTCAACACTATGTTCCACCCAGCCCACTCAGAGGGAAGACGTGCATCCCAGTAGCTGACCACTGACAGGAGGTGAGTTCACGGTCATCCTATGTGTGCACATGCAAACTGCAGGCTGACCCCTCCAGCTATACCTGCATACCTGGAGGGCAGGGCTCAAGGCTCCCACCTTGGGGGCCCACACAAGCCTTTGACAGGCAGAGGCTCCAACAGCCTGATGGGGAGGGAAGCAGAACTCCTGGAGAGCTTCCTCTCGGAGCCAACTGGGAAGACTCAGCACTGCAGAGACACTGACACCCTTTTCCCCTAGAAGCTGGTCCCAAAGCCACCTCCTGCCAGCTTGTCTGTTTGAGAACATCCCTAGCCTTATGTAAGCAAAACCTCTGAGACCTCTGACAGCACTAGCTCTCTAGGAAATGGAAGGCAAGGAGTACTTTCTTGGTGACCTTTGCATTAAGTGTTGCTGAGATCAGAGACAAGCCATTTCACAATGTCCTACCTGAGAGAAGACATCCTGGTGTTTGGAGAGGACAGGCCCAGTGAAGAGGTGGTTAATGACACTGAGGTCCAGGATCTGGTCGCCTATGGCCACGCCGATCCTGGGTCTTGGCTAGGAAGAAAATGGCATGGTCAGCACTCGGAAAAGTCTCTGACAGGGAGTGGCACATTTACTCAGAAAGCCTGTCTACTTAATAGCCCACAGGTGCCCCTTTAGGCAAAAGGGACTACGGAACTGTCTCCACGGACCCTTGTGTCTTCTCTACTTCCAAGGTAAAAAGCAAAAAGAGCCTGTGTTCCGTGAATGAGAAATAAATCAAATACCCCTTGGAGTGGGGTTAGAGCTGGCAGCCTGGTTCCAGCCCCTTGTCTCCTATATAGTTCCCTAGGAACTTCTGCCTTACTAGGAAGCTGGATTAATTTTCAGGTTTAACTAAGGCCTTCGCTCAAGGCAACGCACATGTGAGGCAGACAGTGAGTGCCTCTCACACAGAGCTGAGGGCCCGGTGCCTGGACTCATGAGCACTGCTGTGGCTCAGGCTGTGAGGGAGCCAGACTGCTCAGGACATGGTAGTGGGGGGGGGGGTCCCTTTGTGCTCAGCACCAGCACTAATACAATGTCTTAAACATTTGGTAAAGCCTGGTTTTCAGCCTACAACCCTGACCTTTGCTCGTCAACAAGGAATCAGAAACAGTGTTTGCAGACTCTGCCTCCTGGGGCTCTGTTCTGAGCCCAGATCCCAGCTCTCCTGAACCACCAGCTTTACCATATCAGTTGCAGAGAGCAGAGAGGTGGGGGTATTAGCCGGCCTTATCTCCACCAGCTGCTGATTTGGGTAGGCTGAGAGAAGATGGCCACTTCTTCATGTGTGTTAGCTTTCCGGACCAGGGGCAGACTACAGGTATAACCTCACCTAGCAGAGGCCCCAGCACAGCCTACCCTGGAGGAGGCTGCCTTGGAGCCCCCTACTCTTCCCTCCATGGCTGACTCCCTAGGCCTCAGTCTCCTACTCTGGAAAACAGGAAATCTGCTGCAGTGGACAAAGAGCTGTACCACCTGGACCCAAGTGGCCATCTACTCAGGGGACATGCAGGCCACATCTCTGACACTGGCCCCCACACTCAGCTGAAGCCAAGAAGGTATCACCAGCATTGAGCAATCTTCAGGATCTGCTAACATAGGGAAAGGGGGGTTCTGCCTTGGCAACTAGGCATTCCCTCCCATGGGAATGTCCAATGCTTGCAGTGACCGCTTTAGACAAGGCCTGTTCAGCTGGAAGGCCCTGAGCCTTCTGGAAAGCCAACTTTTCATTCCTGATACTTTATCAGGGGCTCTCTCTCCCTGATTTCCCAAGTGGCTGCATCTCCATATCATAACAGCAGGGCATGGTGTCTGAGAGCCCTTAGCCATACTTCAGGGGACATGAATTTTATCCCCCTGGGAAAGCAAGTCAGAGAACCCCACTAAGGGTGTGCCTACCTCTCACTAATGTTTTCTTATAATGTACTTTTGCTCCTGGGAAAGGGGAGGACATACCTGCTGAGGGCAAAGTGTTAGGAGGCGGCAGAGGGAGGGCTCTGCCAGCAGAGAGGGTGGTTGGCTAAAATGGGTTAAGGTTTAACACACCTTGTATTTGTGTCCTGCAGGAGAATGAGTGTTAACTTTTTGAGTCCTTGCAACATCTGATCAGGTCTGCCAGTTGTGAAACCACAAGCTGACTCTTCTAAAGCAAGGCATGTGCCACAGGCAAGCCCATAAAAGACCAGTCAACTTGGGGCCAATGACCAGGCATAGGAGAGGGGACCTCACTTTGCAGGAAGGGGCCTACTCCCAAGTGCCTCATTTAGCTAGCAAATGTCTCCTGAATACCGTTAGTTACAAGCAGATTCCGGGGTTCTGTAGCTTACAGAGCTGAATCAGGAATCTACCTTTAAAATTGGGAGCAGAAGTCTAGGTAAAAATACCATAAACAAATCCAAGAGAACCTGCTTTTCTCACCCAAGGATCTTCTTATTACCTATCTGCTATAAACCCCAGTTTCCAAAGATTCTTTCTACCAATCACACTACACTTAACTAAGTCCCAGTTCATTTCCCTTTCCCAAAGGGATCTTTCTGATCAGCAAGAGAATGCCAAGAAGAGCACACCACTGACAGAATTCCAGCTGGAGGCAAAGACATTTGCCATCTTAGATCCCACAGCTCTAGTAAGGAAGTAAGTGTGTCCCTGAGTCGCTAAAATACCAGGTTCTAGGGGCTAACCAGAGAGATTAACGACAGCCGTAACCTGGCATCTAGGGGAGGCAATCACACCACAGCAACACTGCATCAGGCAGCAAGACGGTGCACTTTGACTTGGGGGTAACAATAATCGTCCCTGCTCTGCTCGTCTGGGAGGGAGAGCCACCTGCTCTATTTCATTTTGCATTTAATCTCACACAGACCGGCAGACACTGAGGCGGACAGATTAAATAACGTGCACAGCTAGAAAGTCACCAGCGGGATTGAACCCGGCACTCTCTAGGGAGGGGTCTTCCAGAGAAAGGAGGCCCCGGCCTCCAGCCCGCCCCCCGGCGCCCCTCCGCTGCACGCCCTCCCAGCTCCAGAAGCCCAGGCGCAGCGGCTCACGTTGCCTGCGGTGGAGAAGACGCCATAGGGTAGGTTGTGGATGGGGAAGTCAGAATCCTCGGCCACCGGGATGAAGGACATGCTGGCGAACACCGGGCGCGGCAGCGGTCGGCGGGCAGTGGGCCTGGCTGGACTGGGCCGTAGCGGTCAGGCGCGTCCCGGGGCCCTGCCCCCGGCCCCGCCCACGAGCCCCTCGGCCGCGGGCCCCGCCCCCGGAGTCTGTCCGGGTAACACAGGCGGAACTCTGGAGGTTCCCGCCCACCTCTCTGCCCACCACAAATTCCCCGCCCCTCGATGAGCCGCGCTCCCACGGGGCCCCGCTCACGGTGTCCCGGATTCTCCGCCTCTCGTTCCCCGAGCCCCGCCTCTCTTATGGCCCCGCACTTGCGACTCCACCACCTTCTACTGCCGACCTGGTTCCGTGCGAAAGCTCCCCCACCCCAGCGGGGCTAGTCCAGCCGCCTGAGCAGGGCATCTGGTCCTACCGAGAGCAAACACTAGTTTAATATTTAATTTTCTGCCCTGGGTGACCCCAGCCTCGAGTCCCCCGCGCTGCTGCCCAGCTCTTCAGATCAACAGAACTTTCTTTCGTCCTCTTCCTGGAAACACTTTTCCCCCAGACTCTGCCTCCTGGGCTTCGGAAGAACACTTCAGTCGTGTCCTTTCTGCCTTCATAAACCAGGAAGGGGCCTACTACCAAGTGCCTCATTTAGCAAATGACTCCTGAATACCGTTAGTTACAAGCAGATCCTGGGGTTCTGTGACTTATAGAGCTGAATCTACCTTTAAAGTGGGGAGCAGAAATCTGGGTAAAAATACCTAGAACGACCATGCTAATAATATGAACGACGGTGACGGTCCCCTGGTGTATCAGCGAGGGGGGCAATCATGCCCATTCCCACTAATGAGAATTATTGTTCTAAAATATATAACTCACCTGTTTATTTCCCAATCCAGTGAAAGGACATTGGCAAGCTGTTTAACCTTGGACAAGTTACTTACATTCTATCTCGGCTTTATTCTCTGCATAATGTTGATACTTCAGAGTTGATACGAGAATTGATGTTTTTGGAGTGCTTAAAATACTGCCTAGCATATATCGTGTGTGTGTGAAGAGAAAGAAGGGGAAAGAGAGAAGGAAATAGAAGAGGGAGAGGAAGGAAGGAAGAAAAGAAAGAGAAGAAATACACATCTTGATCCTCTTCCTAACACAGAACAGTATAGTAAATGGACTCAGACTGTGTGGATTTGAGATCTCTGACTTTAACTCCGTGTCTAAGCAGGGCCAAGTTAAGTTCTCCAGTCAGCTTTCTTCTCCCCAACAGGGGTGATACCAATACCTCCTCTCTAGGGTCGCGGGGATGGTCAAGTCATGCCTGGCACATGGTCATTAATTTTTTTTTTTTTTTTTTACTCTAGCGACATCCAACAAGAAAGTTATCCATTCTTTGTATCTGGGTTTTGCTTTTCTTTATAAAGAAGACAATCAAAAAAGACAACTATAAAGTGGTCATTACTGACTAAAAATAAGTTTAAAAGGTAAGTGCAAATTTCTTAGAACAGTAACAAATTTTTTTCTTAAAAACAAGTTTAAAATTATAAAAGGTGTAGGGTACAAGATAGTTCTCAATATAGAAACCCGTATTTGAAACTCTTACCATTTTTTCTTTTGTTGTTGTTAATTTTGAGAGAGGGGCTCTGTGGCTGGGGCTAGAGTATTGACTAGGGTGATCAGACATCCCACTTTTAAACAATTTGTCCTGAGTCCCTTGGCATTTTAAAAAAGTATCGATTTTTTGGAAAGAATGTACGAACGGGCAGGAGAACAGGAAGGAAATATATGGTTTTTGGCCGCCATGTGCCTATTTTGCCAGAATATGAGTTTTATATTATTTTTGTTAATTTTATAATGTTAAACTGTAATAACAACAAATAATTGTTGAGAAGTGATTATTGAGAACTGCTTATCAAAGTTTGCATTGTTGTCAGGCCCCCCCCAGTTGTCCCCCTTTACAAATGTTAAAATCTGGTCACTCTAGTATTGACATAATAGCTCACTGCAGCCTCAAACTCCTGGGCTCAAACTCCTTCTGCCTCAGCCTTCACCTCCCAAATAGCTGGGACTACAGGTGCACTACCAAGCCCAGTTAACGTTTTTCTATTTTTATAGAGACAGCCTTCTCACTCTTGCTCAAGCTGGTCTCAAGCTCCTGGCCTCAAGCAATCCTCCCATGTCAGCCTCTTAAAGTGCTAGCACTACAGGCGTTAGCCATAGTACCCCTGCCCTTGAAACCCTTACTTTTGATTAATTTGCTTTGGACATTATCAAAAAAGTTAATGAATTAATTAGAGTCAAAATGACTCTAGAGTCAAAAAGTTAATGAATTAATAGATACACAACAGAGCTGACTGAAAATGAAAATTAAAAAAAAAAAAATAAGCCAAAATCCTAGAAACTAATTTTAAGGAACATTTTAAAGGTTGCAGAACCATCCCAGGATTCGTAAAGATAACTTTTTCCTTTGAAAGCACTTTTTAAATGATTAATAACAGGCAGAAGACTTTAAAGAAAACAAGAAAGTGCAGCTGCTTTGCCTGCGATGTCTTGACCCATTTCTCCTCTCATCCACTATCCTCCCTAAGTCACTTAAAATCTTCCTTGTTCCTCAAAGCACACATTTGTCACCAGCCTGTCCCTAGTCTCCCAGCAGTTCCCGCCAGTTTTCCCTCCTTTGTGGTCACCTCTAGAACAATTCTGCCTTTTCAATAAGATCAGTAGTGAAGTGTGCACCAAATAACTTCTAATTTGAATACACTATGGAGATTATGAGCGATTTGTGTTAAAAAAAAAAAAAAGGAAAGGATGAAGAAGACAAAGCAGAAGGGAAGGAAGGAAGGAAGGAGAAGGGGAAGGGGAAAGGGAAAGGAAGGGAGGGAGGCAGTCAGTCTGGCTGGCTGGCTTTTGGGAACCAGCTAGAAGAGTAAACGAACCAGAGGGGGAATGGCCAATGGCGGGGAATTGAGAAAACAAATCACACTAGAGATGGAGATTGCATGAATGATAAGAGACGGATGGTGAGGTCTGGGGCAGCTGATGACGACAGCCAGCACGGAACCGAGAGAACAGCTTTATTTATATAGTACCTAAACAAGGTTGCATATGTTAACAATGTTGCAAATCAGCACGGAAAGCTTGTGGAAATGTTTCCATTTTACAAGGTTGAGGGGAAGTAATAGTACATGGGGTGTTTAGATGAAGATGTTTAGATTCCTCATTGGTTACAATCTATCCACCTTCCATGTCCACATTCCTGACATTCCATTCTACTGGCCCTCTGAATTAATCTTGATGCCTATGTGCTAATGAAAAAGGGAGACCAGAAGGCCAGGAAGCCAGTCCCTGGAAAGATGCTGTAACAAAGTGTCCTTGCCTAAATTTCCAAGAATATCTACTTAGATGTTCAAAAAGCTCTATGACAAAGGGGAAGTTTAGCTATTATCAGTTTAGCAGGAGATAAACTGTCTTCACATCAAGAACATGGCTTCTGAGTCATCCACTTTCAAGATTGCACTGTGCAGTTAGTCCAAGCATCCTTGGGCACTTTGTACTAGACTTGAGCATGAAAACTGCAGACAAATAGGAAAATCATACTATATGTTAGTACAGGTGTAGTGAAGCTGGAAGCTGCAATTACTTTGTCAATTTTTTTTCTTTTTTTGATAAAGAAAAATTAAATGCCAAAACAAATTCAATACCTATTTCTTGCGTAACCTCCAATTTCTACGATGTAGTCATCAAAACAGCTTTGTAATTAGCTTTTTCAATACTTTGGACTTCAGGGACAGAAAATTGGGTTAATCACAACCCTGGTTCCCAACACTCCCAGCATTGGGTTGTACACAACCTGCTTTCAGTTGTGTAGCCTAAGGATCCTGACTGTGCTATCCCCTAAACCTGGGGCCTTGACCATCTAGTACCACTTACTAGCCACTCCCTTGCCATCTCATCTGAGGGTATCACTCTGAATTTTTACATTACTTTGCTTTCTTTTCATATGAATTCCATCTATAACCTGCAAATTGTATTTTTAAAGTTTCAACAGGTGAGCATATTTTGAGACTATCTTTGGTTATAACTTTTTTTTTTTTTGCTTACTATACTTCTATTTTGTTGTCACTAAGGATTAGTTCTGATCACTATGTAATATTCCATTCTACAAATATATCTCATTTTATTAATCTGCTCTTAGGTGGGAATGTCACCGGTGCTTTTTGCTTTGTAAACAGAGTCATGAAAATTCTTGTATATATCCGTTTAATCTCTATGCATGTTTTGCCTTGGTATACACTTAGGATTGAAATTTGTGGATTATAGGGCATTTAAAACGTTCAACTTGAAAAGGTAGTATCAAATTTTCTGAAGGACTGAGCCACTTTTCATTAACATCAGCAATGCATAAGAGATCACGTGGAAATCCTCTAATACTTGCTATTGCCAGACTTTAACATGAGTATGAAATGCTACCTCATTGTGGTCTTGACTTGCATTGTGACTTCTTCCACTTTGTAACTTGTCTTTTCACATTCTTTGAAGAAAGACACCTTAAGGTCTATTTTGAAGAATAAAGAAATTACTTCAAATAGACAAATTCACTAATGTTTTTATTGCACTCGAATGTTTACAGCAGCTCAATTCACATTTGAAAAGATGAGGAAACGATCCAAGTGCCTTATCAACCAATGAATGGATTAATAAACTGTGGTGTATGTATACCATGGAATACTATTTAGCCATGAAAATATGGAGACTTGACATCTTTTGTATTTACCTGAAAAATCATCTCCTTAAGCATGAAAACATCCCATGTACTCAATACTAACTTGAAACTATCAATCTATGGGTCGTGACCCACAGGAACTGTATTAAAGGGCCATGGTATTAGGAAGGTTGAGAACCACTGTAGTAGATGAACAACTACGGGCTCATAGAAGAAAAACACAATTAGATTCAAGTAGGGGGAAGGGAGAAGGGGCTCAGTAAGCTTCATACTGGGTACACCTGGGGTGAAGGAGTCAAGGACAGCTTGGAGTTTTCCCAGCAGATGCAAGCAGTGCAACCAAATTGGGTGTACTCTTCTATTATTCTGAAATTAAAAAAAAAAAAAGACTTTTTGTCCTAGTAAGTCCTAAGGTAACCCAGTAGCCACTTTTTCAGAGTTTTAAAGGTTTTTTTGTTCTGTTTTGTTTTACATTTAAATCCTTTTTCCTAGGGATGAAAGAAAGCAATTTTCACCTTTCTGCATACAAATGACCAATTGTTGCAGCCCTAATTATCCAATAGGCTTCTCTGATTAACCTACCACCTCTTATATCAAAGTTCAGAGCTGGCATGGGTTTTTATCTGGGCAAGCTATTCTATTCCATTGGGAAATCTGTCTGTTCCTTAGCTACTAACGTGCTATTTCAACTAACATGGCTTCACAATGAGTCCTAACATCTGGCAAGTCCTCTCTGTTCTTTTCTGAAATGTTCTAGTCCTTTGCTCTTTTTTACCTTTTAAGACAACTTAAACTTTTAAGTTTCATGAAAAAACCTGCTTAGATTTTGAATGGAATTGCTTTGAATTTGTAAGTCTACTTAGGGATAAATGGTTATCTTTATGATACTATCTTCCTACCCATGTCTTATTTAGAATTCTTCAAGAGATCTTCAACATATATCAGATCAATTTCCTACGTAAATGGTGTTCTGATACTGTTGTTAAATGGTATTTTCTGCTTTTCTAGTTAATTGGCATAAAGAAATGCAACTTTGACTTCTCTGACAATGTCATATCTAGCTACCTAATAGTGGGCAGAGTCACCCTTTGTTTCTGACTTTAAATGGGAATGAGTTTCCTCTTTTTTTTTTTTTTTTTTTGAGACAGTCTCACTATGGCACTCTTGGTAGACTGCTGTGGCATCACAGCTCACAGCAACCTCCAACTCTTGGACTTAAGAGATTCTCTTGCCTCAGCCTCCCGAGTAGCTGGGATTACGGTCACCTACCACAACACCCGGCTACTTTTTGCGGCAATTCTCATTGCTGTTTTAGTTGGCTGGGGACTGGGTTTGAACCTGCCACCCTTGGTATCTGGAGCCGGTGCCCAATCCACTGAGCCAGAGGCCCCACCCCAGAGTTTCTTCTTGATAAGATACTTAGGTTTTTGTTCCTTGGTTGATTGGTTTTACATAGAAACTATCAGCTAGGAGAATTCCTTTCTTGATCTAATTTGTCAAGTTGTTTTTTTAATCATGAATTTTAAATTTAATTAAGAACTTTTTATCTGCATCTATTAAGACAATCATAATGGTTTAAACTTTTTAATCTACTAATATAATCAGTTAATTTAGATTTTTAATAGTAAACCCTTATTCAAATCAAATATAAGAAAAAATTTTATTTATTTATTTTTGAGACAGAGCCTCAAGCTGTCCCCCTGGGTAGACTGCTGTGGCATCAAAGCTCACAGCAACCTCCAACTCCTGGACTCAAGCGAGTCTCCTGCCTCCGCCTCCCAAGCAGCTGGGACCACAGGCACCCGCCACAACGCCTGGCTATTTTTTGTTTGCAGCCATCATTGTTGTTTGGTGGGCCTGGGCTGGATTCGAACCCGCCATCTTGGGTGTACGTGGCTGGCGCCTTAGCCACTTGAGCCACAGGTGCCGAGCCAAGAAAAAATTTTAAACCTAGAAATTTATACTGGAAAACACTTCATCTATTTTATGTATTTTTTTTAAAAAGGTTGACTGCCTGATAAATTAGAAAACCACAGGACAGAAAGGTGTCTTGAGCTCTACAATTCTCCGACTCTCCTGGTGTTGAAATTATGCAACTTTTCTAATTCTATCAGAAAATGAAGCTTTTATTAGATGATAATTCAATGTGAGAAAGTACAGAAAAGAGAATCAGACAAGGGCTAGAAAATACATTTAAGTGAAAAAGAGAAGTTTTTGTCTTTGAAGATATGCTGAGCTCTTTAACTTACAGGAATGTAAGATTATGATTTATCACAATATTAGTAATAAACAGATGAGACAGATAGTAATAGTTACCTTAAAAAATTGGGAAAGCAGAAAACTAAGACCAGAAAACAAAATTAACTAACAGAAAAAATAAGAGAAAAATTCATACGAGGGAGCATTCTGGTTTTGCTTTTTATTTAATCAAAGACTGGTGGATAAACATAAATACAGCACAATTACTTCAGATCATTCTTCATATTGTATACACACAGACCATGAACGTAATCTGAAAGAAATCTGCAGTCAGCAATGAAATGCATACAGCTTTTTCTTCCCTCACTCAAAAAAAATTTTTTTTTAAAAACACACAAACTTAGAATCTCATCAGCACACACTCTCCTGTAACAAATGATTCAGACATAAATAAAGAATGGATGCAAAGAAACTATATGCTAACATATGAATAACCTTTGTTAATGAAAAAACAGAAGCAGCCATAATGATTAAGATACATTCAGTTACTGATAGCTAG